AATATCTTATAGTTCTGTTTAGTTCTATGTAATATTTTATAGTTCTGTTTAATATCTTATAGTTCTATTTAATATCTTATAGTTCTGTTTAGTTCTATGTAATATTTTATAGTTCTGTTTAATATCTTATAGTTCTATTTAATATCTTATAGTTCTGTTTAGTTCTATGTAATATTTTATAGTTCTGTTTAATATCTTATAGTTCTATTTAATATCTTATAGTTCTATTAAATACTGTTTAATATCTTATAGTTCTATTTAATATCTTATAGCTCTATTTAGTTCTATTTAATATCTTATAGTTCTATTAAATTCTGTTTAATATCTTATAGTTCTATTTAGTTCTGTTTAATATCTTATAGTTCTGTTGAATATCTTATAGTTCTATTTAGTTCTGTTTAGTATCTTATAGTTCTATTTAGTTCTGTTTAATATCTTATAGTTCTATTTAGTTCTTAAATAGAACTATAAGATATTAAACAGAATTTAATAGAACTATAAGATATTAAATAGAACTAAATAGAACTATAAGATATTAAATAGAACTAAATAGAACTATAAGATATTAAATAGAACTAAATAGAGCTATAAGATATTAAATAGAACTATAAGATATTAAATCAGAACTAAATAGAACTATAAGATATTCAACAGAACTAAATAGAACTATAAGATATTAAACATAATTTAATAGAACTATAAGATATTAAATAGAACTAAATAGAACTATAAGATATTAAATAGAACTAAATAGAGCTATAAGATATTAAATAGAACTATAAGATATTAAATAGAACTAAATAGAACTATAAGATATTCAACAGAACTAAATAGAACTATAAGATATTAAACAGAATTTAATAGAACTATAAGATATTAAATAGAACTAAATAGAACTAAAAGATATTCAACAGAACTATAAGATATTAAACAGAACTAAATAGAACTATAAGATATTCAACAGAACTATAAGATATTAAACAGAACTAAATAGAACTATAAGATATTCAACAGAACTATAAGATATTAAACAGGACTAAATAGAACTATAAGATATTAAACAGAACTAAATAGAACTATAAGATATTCAACAGAACTATAAGATATTAAACAGGACTAAATAGAACTATAAGATATTAAACAGAACTAAATAGAACTATAAGATATTAAACAGAATTTAATAGAACTATAAGATATTAAACAGAACTAAATAGAACTATAAGATATTCAACAGAACTATAAGATATTAAACAGGACTAAATAGAACTATAAGATATTAAACAGAACTAACTAAATAGAACTATAAGATATTAAAGAACTAAATAGAACTATAAGATATTAAATAGTATTTAATATCTTATAGTTCTATTTAGTTCTATTTAATATCTTATAGTTATATTTAATATCGTATAGTTATATTGTGTTCTATTTTATACCTTATAGTTCTGTTTAGTTCTATTTAATATCTTTTTGTGAGGGTGGAGGTTGGGAGTTTAATTACTAGGAATGTTAGGGTGGTTTCATTTCTACTTCACGAAATTCAAGGGTAACTGCCTTCCCACAACTGGCTATAGGCAGTGAAAGGCAGTAAAAGCTGAGACGTTGTGGGTGTAAGCACTCAACTTCGTACCCTTGTTTGATTTTTTATGATTTTCCATGGCAGCCGACTAGATTGACATCAGCGT